CTTCCAGCGTGTTGCTACGAACATAGGGAATGCTGTTGCAGATATGTCAAGACATACGTTCTGTTGAAAGGTGCAAAGTGGGGCCCCCTAGATAGCTAAGTTGGTTTATAGCTCCAATAACTATGGTTTATGGTACTTACAACTTATAACTATAGTTATTGGGGCTTATAAACCAACTTATAACTAGGGGGCCCCACATTGTACCTCTATCTAGTTGGTGCTTTGGAACAGGTTTTTTTTCCATGATATATGGGATGTCATCCTTCCCATTGACGAACTCATATTTTTCAGAATGGTTAAAACCACCAACCAGCTACAGGATGGTGCCCCCCAGTTATAAGTTGGTTTATAAGCCCCAATAACTATAGTTATAAGTACCATAAACAATAGTTATTGGAGTTATAAACCAACAGCTATCTAGGGGGCCCCACTTTGTATGTTACATGGGGATTTGACCAATTGCCCAAATGCAACAGAAATCAAGATATCTTTCGATATAAAAAAAATTGAAGGCACGCCTTTCGATGCCGATTTGACGGTCATTTCCTGGAATTTGTGTTTGACTTTGGTTCAAGATACCCTCAGTTACAGATGATTTCCCACTAGATGAGTTCCCTCTCAGAAACCGCTCTAGATTTGAAACTGGAATCCCCTATAATTAATTCGTGTGAATATAAATGGATTCCGGTTAAGATTTTCCCTTAAAACCAATCCATTGATAGATGATGGAAGTTGGATGAAGTTGGTTTATAAACCCCATCAACTATTGTTGTAAGATGTTATACGTATCATAAACCGTAGTTCTTGGAGTTATTTTCACAAAATTAGCTATCATTTGGGTGTCCCACTTTGTAGATATATGACCCTCTGGTAATCTAAAATAGCAATTGAAAATAGTAAATCAAATAGCAAACCATCCATGTTCATGGCCATGTTCAATAGTTATGTTGAATTACCAGAGGGTAGATGATGTTAGTACATGAACTGTTTGTACCACACCATCCCCTGCCATCAACACCGTTCAGCCAGGCCTGCTGGTGGCCAATAGCGCTCTTGCTTTGGACAACGAGTATGGACAGCTCTCCTCCCGGTGGCTGTGAAGACACAACTGGGGGTCCAACACTTGTTTTTTTTTTGTTCGTGGGGAACTACAGTTTGGGGCCCCATAATTAGTTAGCTAAGTTGGTTATAACTTTTTGATAACAATAGAGTGTATGATACGCACATAGTTATTTTTAGATGGGGTGAAAAACAAACAATCATAACTGGGGGTACCATCCTGTAGGGGGATAGAAATGGGGATTTAACCATCAAACATGGTGAAGATATGATAAGGTGATGGAGAATTCGAGATATTTTCCGTGGAACATGGCATGGCCAATTAATGTTGGTTTAGTTGATTTAACCATCCAAACTGGTGAGTGATGCGGATATAGCGGGGATATATAATCAACAGCTTGGGGTCAACCAACTGGATTGGTATACAGGCGGAAGTTCTATCAATTAAAGTGTACATATAACGCATATATCAACACTCGGGACATATCAATCTGAGCACACACACACATATATATATATATATACATACACGTATTACAATATACTACAATACACAAGTGGCTGTATCATCATCATCATCATCATCATCATCATCATCCATGGTGTCCATGATAAGTCTTGGCCGGGCAACCGCCAACTAGTGGATAGAACAGCAACGGAGACCAGGAAATGGATGGGCAGATCCCCCAAGTCCTAGTTGGAGCTTTTTTTTTAGCCCTGCTGGCGTGCAGGAATCGCAAGTGATCAACAACCATATTAAGCATAAGCCATTTATATCCATGGAATCTATGGCTTATATGTGGTTACTATATGATATAGTTAGGTTGTATATGATTATAAGTTATAAGCCAATTGCTCACTGGGATGCACATCCAAGTGCTAGGTGTTGCCAATAGCCTCCTAATAGGGCATCAGTTAATGAACGCAGTGACGTTTCATACAGTTAAACAACAGTTGCTTAAGATGATTCTCCACATTCGGGGATGTTCGGATGCCATGGTGACGGCCAGGAGATTGAATTACACTTGCGTTCCTCGTGTTTTCAAGTTTTCTGTTCTCGCCGACGGTGGATGGTTTGTAGTTCCGTCGCGTGCTGCGATGAGGAGTGAGTCTTGAGAGCTTTTTAACAAACAGCTTGGGGGGTCAATCAGTAATTATATAAAGAAACATTTCCAGGACACCATGGATCTACCAGCCAACAATCCGCGTTTTCTGCGAATTTAATTTGCCATATCCCATTTCCATCCCAGTTGCTGCAGGTGAATCCAAATATTTGTTGATTACTCGCGCCAAAATTTGTTGAGAGGGGATCAGCTCCAAAATTTGTGGGACCTCCAACTTTCAGCGAAGCCATTGCGCACAGCCAAGGCAGTTAGTCCTCTTGGCACCTTGCCTGCTGGGATCGGTGAGGTGGATGTAGGTATTCTCCAACAGCTGGTAGAACATGGATTTGTTTGAAAATTCTGCACCCCCAAAAACATATTTGGTATCATCATGTTTCCCATTAAAACTGAACAAAATCGGTATGCCTTGATGGAATCCCAGCAGTTGAGTATGTTCACTTGTCAAATTCCCAGCGGTGTCATCATTTTTGACGGTTTTTTATAAGGGTCAAATCTTCATTCGGCACAAAGTTTTGATGGTTCAACCGCCATTTCTTGACCAACCCCCCAGCGATTTTTTCCGCTCAAAATTCCCTCATTCCAATGTGTTCACCGTGTTGGATGCATAGACCCAGCCAATTTGGCGTGGTGATTCTTCAGATTTTGGGGGCTCCATAAATGGGGCTCCCCCAATAGCTGGATGGTTTATTTCATGGAAACCCCCGATTAAAATGGATGATTTAGGGGTACCCGCATTTTTGGAAACCCGCATGTAACCATAGTTGTAAAGGTTATATCGGAACTTATGGAGAGTAAAGTTCCATAGTTATACAATTTTATACAGTTATACCCAAACAGTTGTGGTTGCTTGTATATCCCATGTTATCCAAATTTCATCTGAAAAATCCCATTAAGATCCATGAACAGATTTCATATTTTACCCTCTGGTAAATAAACATAGACCGATAGACCCTGAAAATAGCCAATGTTTAATGGAAACTAGTCTTCCAACCCCTATCTGCCAGGGTCTATGTTAATTTACCAGAGGGTAAGATCCATGAAATCCCATGAAATCCAATGAAGTCAACAAATCGCCCATCCCCAGCACAGCGCTTCGCTTAAGCGCAGATCGTGATCTCCTGCAACATGGTCTTGACGGTGCCCATGCCCGATGAGTTGATGCGGCGAAGGAAGCGCGCCTTCAGCACCGTGGTCTACGTTAGTGGCTGGTAGGGTCTACGTGATGCAAAACACAAATGGCTCAAAAAGGGGTTGGTTAGTGGCTTCATATGGCTTAATATGAAAAAAATGGCTTAGCTTAGCTTCCCCGCTGCAAAAAGATTTTGATTCGAAAGATAAAAAAATGACAACATATGTAGATTCGACAGATGCAAGTACATATATCTATGTACACATGCAACCTAGCCATGCTTGGCTATGTTTCACAAGCCGCCCAAGGTGTCCGGAGCATGTTTATGTGGTCGTTACCCACGGCTGTGTTGGTGGCCGGCCTGACGGCGGCCTGGACTCTGCTGCTTGGAATTTCACAACATGAGAGTCTTGGAACCTACAGACATGTCGGGATGCAACAATACCAACCAGATGTTGGTAAAACAATACCAAGTTACAACCTATCCATAGGAAAACCATGGGAAAATAGTGGGAAATACTGGAAATATCATCTATAAATGGAAATCATGTGGGAAAACAATGTCAGTTTTACCATCCAAAAATGGGAATGGTAACTTTATACCACCTATATATTTATGGTGATGACTGGGGGATGGTTTATGGCATTGTTTTACCCACATTATAACCATAATCATAATGTCATAATCAGAATCATTGAAGTTAATGTCATAACCCGAATGATATTATTCATGATTCACTTCAATCATTATGACTGGGAATGGCAACCATACCACCCATAAAATTTGTGATTTGGGGGATGGTTTATAGCATAGTTGTACCCACATTAGTGTTGTTACTTTGGGTAGATTATGGATTAAGTATAACTTGCAGTTCTAGTTATAATATTTTCACCTATATATTGATAATCGGAGTTATATCCTAACCTGTGGGTGTTATTACCATAGTTGAGTGATGCTTCCCCCGATCATATGAAATCCCCACATATGGGCATCAAAAATGAATTAGTACAAGATTAAATCAGGGTTTCTAGGTATGTTACTTCACATGGAGGTTTCCTAAAATGCTGGTACCCCCTAGTTATCATCCATATTTTAGATTATTTTTGTTTCGGATTTTCCATGACATAAATCATATAAATCATCCAGCGAGCCTTTTGGGTCCATATATTGGATCATAGGATTGTTCCAGCATCATGTTGTAGATCCAAAGAGCTGGTTCAAAAAAATGGTCGGATATTCAACCATCAACGTCTGGTTGGGACTTAATAAGTTCCCTAAGGATCCATGGTGCTGGAATATTTACCTACATTGACCCCTAAAGTAAATTTCCAAGTAATCCCAACTGGTTGGTAAATATTCCAGCACCATGGATCCTTAGGGAACTTAATATATCAACAGTAGGGACTTTTATTTTGGTTCTGGTTGGTGCTTTGGTTCACATGACTGGATTATTGTTCCATGTCATATCAATGGGATGGAATAATCCTTTATATGGAATGTCATCCTTCCCATTGACGAAGTCCATCATTTTTCAAGATGGTCACATTGCACCACCAACCAGATTATGATTATTTGAGAATCACCATTTTCAATGGGTAAATCCACAACAAACTATGGAAAATCACCATTTTTCAAGATGGGCACATTGCACCACCAACCAGAAAAACCAATGAGGCCGTGGATGGGCGTTTCAGAAATGGGGATGGGCGCCCTTGCCATGGTTGCCATGGCCCGCCATGGCCCATTTTCCGCGAGGGAACATGATGAGAATCCATTGGAATTGGTGATTTTCCACCCGTTTTCAGACGAGGTTTTGGCTCTTACCCTCTGGTAAACATACAAAAAACTATGGAAAGATCCACCATTTTTCATGGGTGAATCAACTATTTCGACTGGGCCATTTTCAAGAGCAAACTGTTTGTTTACCAGAGGATAAGAATTTGGAACCAATAGATGTGAATAAATATGATATTATATGGGGATGAGTTAAAATCTGTTAAAATCTATGATTTCTTGTTTTAGGATTTTGAACATTGCTTGCAAGTACGAGATTATATCCCGGTTGGGGCACCACTTAGAACACAGCCTTGGCCTCAGCTGAGGGAGAAATTTTCTTGGGGAAGGTACCCGGCCTGGTAAACGTTGACAGTTTGCGAACTTGAACATTGCCATAGAAATCGTTGATTGGCAGATTTAAAAATGGTGATTTTCCATGGCAAAATGTTCATTTATATGTTGATTTACCTTTAAAAAAATGGAAATTTTCCATATAGTTATGTTCACCAGAGGATAAACAAAAATGTGATGTACCCTCCGGCAATCAAACATGCTTTGCGGTCAAATCCCCCAGTGTGATCGCTTTTTTTTCCCAGCCATTCATGTTTGATTACCAGAGGCTAAATCCATGATATTCCATGAACTAATCCCCATTTATCTCAACATCCATGAATTCATGAACTAATTCACTCTTCAGAATATTAATGCCCACTATAATTCACTATAATTCACTATAATTCACTATAATTCACCATTTAATGCCCACTAATCACCATGATTTACCATAGTTGCCCATTCATATGATGCCCATTTATTAGTTAATTATTTAATAGTTAATTTATACCATAGTTGCTTTTTTTTTTACCATGAATATCAATGGGAATTCCAGGATCCTAAAATGGAGGTACTGTACCATGTAAGGCCATATTTTGGGGGTATATCCCCTTACATAGGCCTTATATAGGCCTTATATATGGTAGGTACCTCCATTTTAGGTTCCTGAAATGGCCATTGATATTTAATAGTGAATTTAATGCCCACCAATCAGCATGAATTTCACCATGAAAATTTAACGACGACTTCGATGCTATGTCCACGACCAGGTTGTTGGCCCACGTCGAGGATCAGTAACGAACTTTTGACGAAGGCGGGGAGATGTCTGGGTAAAAATGGATGGTGTATGTCATGGAAAATCCATCTATAAATGGATGATATAGGGGTACACACATATATATATATGCTATGTTATATTATATTATATTATACTATATTATACTATATTATATTATATTATACTATATTATATTATACTATATTATGTTATATTACGTTTTATTATATTATATTATACTATATTATATTATATATTATTAAATAAATATATATTATATATATAGTATATTAATATTATTATTATTATCATTATTAGTATTACTATTATTATATACATTCATATATATAGATATATATATTATGGGTGTATCTGGGTAACTTTCATCACGACCTCACTGTTTTCCCGAACCGTGGAATCATGGGACTTAGAGTAAGGGGAATCATCCCCAAAATGGCCGAATATCTGGAGAGTTTGGAGACATACTGATGATCGGAGGCTATATTGTAGATAATCTCCAAAATATCCTCTTGTTACATCTTTTGATATCTCCACTTTAGTGGTGTTTTATGCATCCGTGTTACCTTCGGGCAGATACTGTTCTGGTTGGTGGTTTCAAACATTTTTTATTTTCCATAATGTATGAGATAAGCCTTCCCATTGACTAATATTTTTCAAGATGGTTACCCTCTGGTAAACTAACATAGCTATGGAAAATCACAATTTTTAATTGGAAAACTCACTACAAATGGCCATTTTCCAGAGCTATGTTAAATTACCAGAGGGTAAAACCACCAACCAGTGTTGGTTTAGCTACTTTTCTGGTTGATTAATCATGTGGATCCCCCAGTTTCCGATGGTTAGCCACCCCCCCAGTTTGATCCGAAAAAAAGCCACTTGATCTTATACCATCCATTATGTAACCATTTGTGGTTCCTCTATTATTCATGGTTGAATCACCAATTTCGCGATAGTTATATACCATCTGGTAACATAACTATGGGTTCACATCACCAGTTTGAACTATTTTTCATAGGTACATCAATGAACTCAATGGCCATGTTTAATAGCAAACTGTAAACGTTTACCAGAGGGTACCCCCAAGTTTACATGAGCCACCTCTTGATGGGTCGTCGCCAGGAGACAGCAATGAGCAGGTATTTACCATCTGGTTATTTAACATAGCCATGGAAAATGGCCCATTTATAGATGGTTTACCTGGGTTTACCTATTAAAAATGGTGATTTTCCATGGCTATGTTAAATAACCAGATGGTAATGATATATTCTAAGTCAATCTTAGATGGATAGTTTAATTCTGTATTTTTTTGGTATCAATGGGATTATCTACTAACTAGCTAAGAATTTATTTATTTTTTCAGGGTATCTAAGATTGGCCATGTATTCATCGGGGTATCATGAATAATATACCAATGATTATTAATATGGTTAATGTTAAACATGATATATTATTACCGTGTAGTTGGTTAACATCATTTACAATTGTATTACCTATAGTTGGATTCTGACCAATGACAATGAAGTATCAACAACAATAGTTGAGTATCATGATATAGAATCAACTATAACCGAAAGCTACGATAAGTCAATGGTATCCGTGAAAGTTTGTTTGTTGCTGGCTGGTAGTTTACAAGTCTTATTTTATGTGGAATCACCCAATACATGGGGATACAGCTGGAACCAATGAAATTGCTTGGTCGTTTCAATATGTTTCAATCAGTTTTTTTTTTGGGGGGGGTTTTCAACCCTACAAATAGAATGCTGATCCGATCCCGCCGGCATATTTCTGCGGGCTGAACCGACCAATCAGTTGGCTGAGTGGGCTATTTTCCAGCTAATATGGCAATATCATGTAAAAATAATATGTGGAAAATATTAATTGGAAAATTGTCGGCGGTTCAGCTAATAATATGTGGAAAATACCAATATCATGTGGAAAATACCAATATCATGGGGGCTATTGTCATATTAATTGGAAAATAGCCGATGTAATGGGTATATCATATGAGTTGGCTGACGATTTTTTTCTGTGGTATCATGTGTGGTGTACCTAATCTGGGTCAACCAACTGGATGTGTAGTTGGAGTGGTTGACTCCTTCGATCTTTTGCTATGAAGGGGGGTATTTACTAACCAGCTAAACATAAATTGCTTGCAAGATGGACAATGTAAATCCACAACTTTCCATTGATCCACGATACTGACGATACTTATTTAATACACCATAAACTGGTTGGTGGTTTGGAACCTTTTTTCATATATTGGGAATTTCATAATCCCAACTGACATTCACTCCATCATTTTTCAGAGGGGTAGGGCCCAACCACCAAGCAGATTATTATTAACCATCATTAACCATCATCATTAACCATCATCATTAACCATCATCATTAACCATCATCATTAACCATATATAAACAGTATATTAACCACAATTTCTGTGCTTTATGAACTGGTACCTTGATTAATGGATCTTCACGGGATGATTTGCTGCCCCTTGTGAGTTCTTAATTTTCACTTAGGGGTGCAGTTCCATTGAAAAAACAATATTACACCGGGAACGCTAACATCATTTACCATCATTTACCCACCATTTCTATCCATTTCTCAGTTCCTCATTGTATCTGCTGTTTCCCCCGTTCCACGTGATTCCCGAGTGATTCCCTGTCTCCGTGAAATGTGGCCCCGTGGGTTGTGCATCACGACTTGCTGCCAGGTTCAACCGGTGAAGCTCTGGTAATGACTAACAGACGAACTCATATTTTTCAGAGGGGTACTTGGTGGCTCATCCCACTTAGTAAGTGGCTTATAACCCCAATTATGAGTGGATTAACCCTACTTATCCCATTTATAACTGGGGTTATAACCCACTTACTAAGTGGGATAAGCCATCAAGTAGGTATACCACCAACCAGTTAATAATGGTTTAATTATGGCTTGTAATGGTTAATAATTGTTAATAATGGTGATTGATAGGAGAAAAACCCTCCAGTAATATTAAGACTTCACTATTGAAAATGGCACATAGAAATAGTGGATTTACCCATTGATAGCATGGTGGATCTATCCATAGTAAAATGTAAACTTTAACCCCAGAGGGTAACCTGGGTTCGCCATGGATATTGCTCCAGCGTAGGGTGAACCATCGTGACGAACCACTGGAAGTTTAGCCCCCAAAATGATCCCATCCCAAATGGACTTTCGGCTGAAAACTGATTCCCGGAGCTTGATACCCGGCCTGGTAAACATACAAAAAGCTATTGAACATGGCCATAGAAATAGTGGATTTACCCAGCTATAAAATGGTGATTTTCCATAGCTATGTTAGTTTACCAGAGGGTAAATAGCCAGCTGAATGGAAAAGAACATCCTCGAAGCCGCTCGAATTGAAAAGACGATTTGCAAACGCTCCAGCGCCGGGAGAGATTTGTAGGAAAACCGCCAAACATGGCAGAAAATCAGCCTCATCTCATCACCCTGAGATTTCGATTCTGATATATAATTATATCCCCATTATTGATTGCATATATATATAATATGTATATATATAATTTGTATTAATTTGTATATATATATATAATATGTATATATATATAATATGTATATATATATATACTATGTCTATATGTATATATATATATACATACACCTAATACCGTATATCCTTATTATATTCCAATTCTTCCATGTAAAAAATACACAATTGATGGTTCTAGCGCTGCCCATGCACCTCTGGAGGTGAACGAGACGAAACGAGCCGCATTGATTCGTGAAGAAAAAAGGAAGCGGAACTGCAGGATGGGACCCCCCAGTTATAAGTTGGTTTATAAACCATTATAACCCCCATTAACTATTTCGTTACATCAACCATAAACCATAGTTACCCTCTGGTAAACATACAAAAAGCTATTGAAAATTGCCATTTATAGTTGAATTACCCATAAAACATGGTGATGTTCCATACTTTTCTGTAAACGTTGACCGGAGGGTAAGCCACTGAAATAACGAACGATACGCGAGCTCGACCGGGGGCCACATCATCTGTGAAGATCCGGGGATTTAGTGGGAGTAACGGTAATAAATGGTGAATTACCATCTGGTAATAAACTGCTTGGTGGTTTCAAACATTTTTTTTGTGCCAAGTTGGTTGATGATTATAGGGTCAATATGTTTTTCTTATTGGTGGTTTGGAAATGTTTGGGCCATTTTTTATTTTCCATTTCATATATGGGATAGTCCTTCCCAACTGACTAGTATTTTTCAAGATTGTTAAAACCACCAACCAGTAAAACATGGCTTGCCGGAACAATCTCAATAAATGGAGGTAGAGACAGAGAGAGCTGCGAAAATCATCGAACTATAGTAACTAAATGGGCCATGTTCCATAGCGATGTTTGATTACTTTAAGCATCTTTAAATGGCAATTGGTTTACCGGCCATAAATGGTAAGAATATGTAAGAATTATGGGGGACTCACCAAATAATTATGGGAATATAACTGGATATAAACCCATGAAACTGGCTACCACTATTTCCCATTTCTGATGGTTATCAGCCAATTTCTGATTATAGCTGGTTATATATCCCATGATATCCTAATCAATATATCACTAGACCCCCTAATTTTAATGGTTTAAATCCGGCATAAAAATGTCCCAATTGGGATGATGATGCTAAATGACATGCATTTAGGTGGCTTAACCACCAGCCACTTAAATAGCAGGCTATATCCTCGGAATGATTGATTAGATATTGGTTTTCCGTATCTATTTTTGCTTCACCTTGTGCTATTTGAGGCATAAGACTTTCGTGGTCATGAAGAGTTTCCCCTATGACCAGTCAATCTATCTGACAATTCAGAGCCATTTCTTATATTATATATATGTAACTATATAGCAAGCCCTAAAAAGATAGATCACTTGGAAAGCTGGACATTTTTGAGGAAACATCCCAAAGAAACACTGTTCTATTTTTTTGGGGTTTGCCATATGTATATATATATATCTGGGGTAAATTATAACGACCTCACTGCGACCACTTGAATTCATGGTTAGTAATGGGAATCATCCCCAAATGGCCGAACTATTAAGGCCAGTGAAATATTATAATTTACCCAGATATATATAAGTACTCCGACTAAAGATGGCGATTCCGACTACCTGAGGAACCTCCATAACGTATACGTTAACACATCACGGCCTGTCATGTGGATATTAATGGTGCATCGTATGTACATGTACATATACCCTCTGGTAAACGTTTACATAACTATGGAAAGATCCACCATTTTGAATGGGAACACTCACTATTTCTATGGTCATTTTTTATAGCTATGTAAACGTTTACCAGAGGGTACACGTCACAGCCATGTTTATTCATATGCGCGTAGATGTTCACACACACAGGTGCATATATAGATATATACCGGTCAATCTTGGATGGCGAATCAGCGACAAAAAGTACATGATTTTTCTGGGATGGCAAAAACAACATCAATATAAATATAAATCACGGTCTTTCTCAGTTCTATGGTAGACATACCCTTTGGCTAGTCAACACTAGCTATGGAAAATGGTCCATTTCAAATAGATGATTTACGCTTAAAATGGTGTTTTTCCCTACCAAATTGTTTGTCATTGCCATCATTAATCACCATTAATTATCACTAATTCCCATGAATGACCATGAAATCATCATTGATCCCCCACTCATCATCATTTAACACCTCCCATTCTTAGTGCTGGTTGGTGGTTTGGAACTTTTTTATTTTCCATTTCGTATATGGGATGTCATCCTTCCCATTGACTTTCATTTTTTTCAGAGGGGTAGGTCAACCACCAACCAGATCATTATTAACCATCATTAACCATCATCATTAACCATCATCATTAACAGTATATTAACCACAATGGTAGGTCAACCACCAACCATGGATTTTCCCATTAAAAATGGTGATTTTCCATAGAAATCGTGGATTTTCCCATTAAAAATGTGTGTTTTCCAATGGATTTTCCCAGGATTCCAACCAGTTCGCGGTCCCAGGTTGGAGCCAGCGGTTCCGGGAAGAGCACCATGCTGGGAGAATTGATGAAGGCGTTTCCGAAGAATCCAGCAGTTGATGACCGGCTGGAAATGATTACTGGGAAAACCATCATTTTTAATGGGAAAATCAACTATTTCTATGGTGATTTAATGGGATGTAATGGGATTTACCCCGTGGTAAACGTTGACACTTTGCGAACTGGAAGCCATGGCCCAGTCGAAATAGTGAGTTTTCCCATTCAAAATGGTGGATCTTTCCATAGTTTACTAGTTATGTACTGTAAAACGTTAGAAATTACCGGAGGGTAGCCTCCGGAAATGACGAGCATTTGAAGTGAATGGGCTATGATTTTCCTGGTGAATGGGATTATACTTGGAATTCATGATGAGTGGAATGGGGATGAGGGTTACCCTCTGGTAAATTAACATAGCTATGGAAAATGGCCCAGTCGAAATAGCTGATTTACCCATTAAAAATGGTGGATCTTTACAGTTCGTTATGTAAACGTTTACCAGAGGGTAAGCAACCAGAGGCTTTTCTGGGGATATTCCCTGAATTTTAGGCCTGATTTTTTTTGGCCAATAAAATATATGGTAGGTACCTCCAATCAATATTTAGCCAACTATGGGATTTTTGCCCAACATATTTTACCATGACCAACCAGCTCGTCCACAGTTTTTTCATGGTGAAACTATGGACTTTCAGGATGAACAGATGGGGGTATAAGTGGATAACTATGACAATCATGATATAACTCATAAATGATGATTGGAACTGGGATTTAACCATGATTTATAGATATCTAGAGCGTTTTAACCATCAACACACTGATAAATGGTTATTTGGGAGAAAACCAGCGGCATCGGATTTAGTGGCTTTATATCATTGGGATAGTTAACAAAAACACTTAAATATGATTTTGGATGTGCTTCAGCAGTGGCTGCTAAACCGGTAGCTTGATGATTCAATAGATTGGGGAATGTCGATCCATCCATTAGAGGAATCTTGCAGAATCCCCTTCTCAACCAAGCAGCATAAAAGGAGTAAGTACAGAGGCTTTGAACACTGCGAGAAATTGGGAGTAAACCAGTAAAAAATGTGAAATTGGGGATTGAACCATCTAAACTCGGGCTGGAAAACCAAGAAAAAGAGATGGTCAACAAGGTTTAAACAACACTTATTATTGGATATAGCCTAATAGCCATTCAAACTGGTGAACAAAAGGACAGTGAGGAAAACATTGCAAACATTGGGAATACAAAGTAACAATGCCCGTTTGGGTTTGATGTTCAACCAGTCAGCCTTGGTGAGGGGTAAAACGGGATAGATAACCAACTATACAATCAAAACTTGGATTGCTTGGTGCTTTCTGTCATCGGGGTACAAGTTGGGAGAGAGAGAGAGAGAGGATATATATATATATAACCGATCATTAAAACTTGGATCGGTTTGCCTTGGTACCATTTGTAGACTATTTTCGCGCAGTGTTCCCATGTTTTTTTTGCATCTATGTTAACTTGCCCTAGGGTGGTTTTCAACCCAATATGGCTAATGGTTTTATTTCTGTCTTTGCTGGACTTATTTCTCACTTTCTCTCTGCAACCAACTTTATCCCATCATATTTCATAAGATGGAATAACATATGATCCCGGTCTTCAACACCATCTTGGGTTACTAATGCATATTCATCCATATGAATCATTAATCCATATTTTTTTCCCGTGATCATCCCATTTTGTCAACCCAATGACAGACGCCAGGAACACGATCCTAGCGCTATGACCAACTTTGAAGAGCAAAGGTGTGGGGAAGGGGAAGGCTGGCCGCGTGTGCAAACATGGTGTTTAATCATGGGAGAACAAACGGAACTATACGGGATTCCATTTTCCATTGATATCCATTTATGAATGAAATGGAGATTTAACATGATTTAACCATCCAATAGGGATGGTTTTTAGATGATTTAGTGATCGGAATCGGCATTCATCTAGCCCCTTAGGATGTTAAATCCCATGGATTCCACCAGGGTTTCGTTTGGAAGTTCCTGGGATTCTGACCTGGAGGTCCTGTCAGTTTGCCAACAGAGCCAGTGTGTTTCTTTTCCCAGGTTTTCTCGTCATAGAAAGATGGGGAAACCCATGGCATATGGTTTCCCCAATACCCTCTGGCTATGTCAAAATAGCTATTGACGCTAGCACGTTTATAGTTGATTTACCTATTAAAGATGGGGATTTTCCATGGTATATGTTAGTTTACCAGATCATTATACAAACATATACAAACCATCAACATCCATCAACCACATCATAATCTTACCATATCTTACCCTTAATTCCCCTGGTTTGTTTTTTAAAGATGTGGGATTTCCCTAGCAAATTGTTTGTCATTGCCATCATTAATCACCATTAATTATCACTAATTCCCTCATGAATGACCATGAAATCATCATTGATCCCCCACTCATCATCATTTAACACCTCCATTCTTAGTGCTGGTTGGTGGTTTGGAACTTTTTTTCCATAGTATATGGGATAATCCTTCCCATTGACTAATGTTTTTCAGAGGGGTAGGTCAACCACCAACCAGATTATTATTAACCATCAACCATCATCATTAACCATCATCATTAGCCATCATCATTAACAGTATATCAACCACAATGGTAGGTCAACCACCAACCAGTTAATAATGGTTTAGTCATGGCTTATAATGGTTAATAATTGTTAATAATGGTGATT